AAGTAATCACACTGACAGCCAATGTAACAAAAGTATTCACAATGACCGCCAATGTAATGAAAGTTTTCATAATGACCGCCAATGTAATGAAAGTTTTCATAATGACCGCCAATGTAACAAAAGTGTTCACAATGACCGCCAATGTAACGAAAGTGTTCACAATGACCGCCAATGTAATGAAAATGTTCACAATGACCACCAATGTAACCAAAGTATTTACAAAATCCGCCAATGTAAGAAAGGTATACACCTTAAATTTACCTTGTTCTTGCAGTCTTCAGGCAGTTTCTTCTTCCTTAGCAGCGGGGGAGGGCGATTTGCATATGAATGAGATGGGATATTACATATGAATGGGTTGCGGCTTGTTGATATGCAAATGACAGCAGCCCATTCATATGCTAATATATCGGGCAGGCCAAGATATTAGCATATGTATGGGCCGCGGTAATTTGCATATCAATAAGCCGCGACCCATTTATATGTAAATAGTGCGGTTCCGGAGAGAGCCGACAGCAGAGGGAGCTGGGTGAGGAGGTGTTTTTCCGCCCTCCCCACCAGCGCCCTCCATCGGCCGATTGTGCTGCCTGTATGGAAGCGCCGGCTCTGTGTGGATCATTATAATTTATAAACAAGTATCCATCAGAGCCCCCAATGCCCCTGTCCTTGCCAGATTTCTACTTGACAGTCATCAAGAATTATTTCATATCAGATATTTCTGTAGATACTGTTGATTTGTTTCTGTGTGACTGTGTGTGCTGTACGCTGCACTATGTTGCTGTTTATTGCACTTGCTTGTATGGGGCTACTTTACAACACACCTAGGGACTATGGGGAACAAAAGTAGCCACCCTCCAGAAGGAAGGACAGTATCAATTCAGAGATGATTTGAGGATCTACAGCTGAGTGATGCACAAATAAGATACATTTTTGTTAATAGTTAAGATACTTAAATGCATTTTTAAGATTTAACTCCTGAATTTAGTGTCACTTCAATTACATTGAAGCCATGTGCAAATTAAACATTATTTTATGTGGGGTCCATGTAAAGTGCAAGGAGGATACCTGGGTTTTTAGCAGGGGAATGTGGAAATTATACAAAGTACTTAACTGTTTTAATGGTACATGAGGTCTGTTGGCACTGGACATAATCAGAAGATGACAGCCAGTCTTTGGCGTTGACTTCCTTTACATTACAGGAACAAGAAGCAAGAAATGGTTCAAACCCATATCAAGTTTTTTTGCTGTCTGTGTCCCATTAAAGAGTTTCTACTTCACTTCTAGACGTATCATTAAAATAGTTATGTAATCTGTATAATGCCCACATTTCTCTGCTGAAAGCTTAGGTATTCTCCATGCACCCCACTTTGGCCTTCTTGTTGCACAGAAAAAAGTTAATAATAATGTTTATTATTTGAGGCACAACAGGAAGTAAGAGGAGATTTCTCCAAAAAAGGGAAATCATCTTTAAGACTCTTGTCGTTAAGCAAGTGTCCCCATTGGGAACATTTTGCCTCTATTGCTCTTACTGTTGCAAATCTAAATTTTGCTTTCAGCCCCAGTGATAATGGTCACCAGGACAAATATAGAGGTAGAAATCTCCCCAGCAGTGACACAGACAGCAATAAAATCTTTGTATCAGTATGAGTCCTGCATGGCTCTGAAACATCAGTGGATATCCTTTTTTTGCACTTTACTTTTCTGCACCTTATAATGGAAACACCATAATTTTTGTGAGATTTTCGGCATGTTGGCTATTGGCTATTTCTTTGCAATAAAAAACTGATAGAGGTTTTAATGCATTCCTAATCTTCCTAATCTACCCCAAAATGGTTTTAGATGCACATTAAGAACTGTGTCATACACCACACTAAAGCACACCAGAACGGTGGTGTTCTTCTGTAACTTCGGTCTGCACAGTGTAGGAGCATATTATAGTCAAATTTGGAATCCTTCGTTTTCCAAGGAGGTTGTGGAGAGTGGCATCATCTGTTCCTAGGTAAGCAGGCCGGATGCCGGGCTATAAGGTAAGTATCTTTTAAAGTGACAATAAACTCAGGAGTTAAATCTGGAAAATGCATTCAAGTACCTTACCTATTAACAAAAATGTGGCCCTTTTTGTTTATGACTCGGCTGTAGATCCTCAAATCATCTCTGAATATGTGCTGACACTGTTCTTCCTTCTGCAGGGTGGCTACTTTTTTCCCATGGTCCCTATGTATGTTGTAAAGTAGCCACTATCCCAAGTGCAATCCCGTGATAAGACTTCAATACAAATTAGTAAACTAAACATGACATTGTAGTCCATCACGGGAGCAAGCTTGGAGCCCCTCATTTTAGATTAGGGGCTGGAGGCTATTAGATAGTTCTTAGTCATGTTTAAGTAACAGGTCCGCTTTAAAATCTGAACTATGAGATCACAAAACCAGTATGTGTAAATGGGTCTTAAAGCCAGCATCTCTGAAGTATGATGTCACGACTCTGCTGTAGCATCTCTCTTTTCTATCCAATAATTTACTACAGTTTTGTCCTTATAATTACTTGTATAATTACATTTTTAACTTACAATGCATGAGGTAAAGAATGTAAAACTGTAAAACTGCAACACAGCATAGTTTATTTAATCTGCTAACATAGTGTTATGATCTTCGTCTAACCTCCATAAGTGGTTTGATAATGAAAAAACTGTTGTAATTTTAGCTCCACCAGACCAGAGACCAACAGCACTTTGATGTAATTTTCTGCTACAGGAATGAATCAGTAAGCCGAGGCTGTTGAGTGGGGAGGAGTAAGGAGTATAGCAGAGGGTTAGGTGGGTGGAAAGCATATTTTCACTTAGATGAGACCAATTAAAGCTCTCAGGCAGCCTAATTAGCCGGTAGATTTCTCTTTCATCCCAACTTCATTCAGGCCTTTTTCATCTACAGATGTGTTCATTAAAGATGATTTAACTCTTCCTGTCATTTCACAATTTTCATACAAAATATGTCATTTCTTAGCAAAGAATGTACATGTGACCATCCATTTGTCCTGGTGGCATCCATTGTCGCTTCTGAAATGGTGTAAAAGCTAACGTGGGCTGCTGCTTTCCTGTAGTGGGTGGCTCTCTATTAGTAATTATGTTAAACTGGATTTAAATCAAAATATGTTTTCAATCAGTATCATTTCATAGCTGTATAATTGCCTCAGTCAGGTGCTGTGACAGGAGGAAATGAATCACACTGAATGAGATATCAATCCATCAGTCTTTCACACTTTCACTGCATGCCTAAATAGATCAGCAAAAAGCTTCAGCAAAATCAGAGTGTAGATACCAAGTTCCGAAGGGCTGGTTTACTAAGAAACAGGAATTTTGCTAGCACAAGATTGGTTGCATTTTGCAATGGTAAATGTCCACCATGACATTGGGTTGATTCGCTTGGGAGCATTTTCTAAACCATAATGCACTGCATGGCCTTTGAAATATGGGCATTATGCTTAGAATGGCCAATATGGGGGCTTTTGGTCAAGGCATAAAAGGGGGGCACGGAGCACCAGAGTATCAGTGAATAAGTGCAATTAGGAAACTGTACTTTAATTCTGATGGATAGTTCTTTAGGACCTTTTCCTTTTTGTTCTCATTATTGGGGTCTTTTTGTCTTTCATTTTGTGGCTGTTTTGAAGACAGCGGTTACTTTTAGCTGCTGCCCTATCCATAACAAACCTTTTTTTGCTGCAGGGCTTCCCTTAAAAAAGGGGGGGGGGGGGGTTGGTTTGAAGGGTTAGTGTTATTTTATGTTGGCTTTTATTTTATGTTGACAGGGCCTTTATTTGAGGTAAAACGTTTATTTTTTTGCAATTTTTTTTCATTAAAAGAGGTGGGGTTTCTTTTTTGTTTTTTTGTTGTTTTTATCTTATGCTGATAAAGCCTTTTTTTAAGTTTTAGTTGTTCAAAAAGGAGGCTTTGTTCTCGAAGATTCCTTTTGTTCACAACACTGCTGAATTGTTTGCAAGAAAAAAGAAACTAAGCACAAGGACATTATGTACCTAAATCACCTCAAATTACATCACTCACATTTATTAAATCCCCCATCCCCATAGATAAAATAAAAGTTAGGCATACACTGCTTTGGCATATTATCACTTTCTGTGGCCTCTGGTCAATTACTGCCGCTCAAAGCTGGTCTATTACTATTTGATGAAAAAGCATGTGTCACTGCTAAAGCTACCTAAAAAAAGCCTTTTATTTCAAACTGAGATTAATCAGAGTCGGGTGCTGCTGTATATAAGCTGGCTAATTGTGAAATATAAGATCTATGCCGCAGTCAAATATGTGCTGCCAGTGTGCACTGTTGCTGAGACTGTCTGAAAATTTTACTGTTCCATAACACCACAGCTTTAAACTATGAAAATGAGGTTTTCCTCATAGCATGTTTGGTGTCATTACGGTACAACTAAGGATTGGGGTATTAGGGAAAGACTGGGCTGGGCTGCAGGGGCCATCTGCTCCAATGGCCAGTAGTTATAAGATATATTGGTCTGGTAGCCCTAAGTGGAAATACTTCACCATTCAGACACAAATCATCAGACTGTCAGTGACACTTGCTGGGCATTATATAGCTGTGTTTAGGCCAGCGATCACAGCTTCTTCCAGAGGCCAGTCTTCCAGTTGATACAATGCATGTCAATGCACCTGTCCTACTGTGGTGTTTTGCAGGGACATTTATTGTGAATAGCACCCCAACGCACTTTACAGTAGAGACCAACACACTGAGCACCACAGCACACACCAATGCACATACCATGCATTTTGGTACTATAGTAAAAAGTTTTATGTCCATTGGCTGGTCTGCTGAGGTCCAGTGGCAGCCTATTCATTATGAATGGGCTGCCTTAACACAACGCACATATGTTACGAACCGCAACAGACTGTAGATGTAAATGAGTCCGAAGTATATGCTGGCGCATGATATATATTGATGTCGTGTTCAGGCAGTAATCTATTTATCAGTGTTACCTCTTACCCCTTTCACACGAGGGCAGGTCTCCGCTCCATGTGAGGTCCCATTGACACATGAGAAGCTCTGCTCCCACAACCTCATATCCTGGATAGCACTGGTAAGTCACAACTGTGCCATGGACTAGCTCAGACTGAGATGTCGTTTTCCAGCCATTAGGAATTTCCGGTAATTCTGGACAAGTATCGTTTCTTGGTACTTCTAAAAAGTGAACATAATTAAGCATTGTTATTTTTATGTTGTTTTCTATTTAGTCCTTTAAATAGACTAAAAATGGCATGTATTTTCTAAAAATAAAAATACTCAAAAAAATCTACAAAGTACAAATGGTTAAAAAGTGATTGTATATGGGTGTTATATAACAAATGCAAAATCAATCACACTAATTAAATCATTAAGAAAACTGTTAGTAATTACATTTAAAGTAGTATAAATAACTAACTTTTAAAAAATATATTTTTTTTTACATCCTTTGCTGCATTTCAGTGCCGCTAATCTCCTACAGCCTCTTTAGAACCATTTGCTGTCTACATGCACTAGCTCCAGTGATGGCTGCATGACAGTTCCCAATGCAGGTTTTTTAATGGTGACAACAGTGGAACATGCTTGTATAATGAGCATCACTTGAAGTTTCCATTGTGGGAGCGTGTGACAATGCAGTAGCACAACAAGGAGACAGGGACAGAGCGTTGTCACCCTATAAAAAGAAGTGCCTGCATGGCAGGTTCACCATGTATTATTTTAATTAAATCATCTGATTTAAGAAGAATGAAAATGCCTGTTTAAAAATACATTAAAGGAGAACTATGGGGTTAAGGCTTTTCCCCATAGTTCTCCTTAGGGTAACGGGAGGACACAAACTTGCATCCTCCCGTCACCCTAGGCTCAGTATACCGTGAGCTGTAGCTCGCGGTATACTGAGACGCCGCAGTATAACGCGAGCTGCTGCTCGCGGTATATTGAGACGCCGCAGCTGAAGCGAATCCCGACAATTATGCCGGGATCCGCCCAGCTGCGTGACTGACAGCTGGACCCGCCCCCTCCCCCGTCCGTTCCGCCAGTCAGCGCTGGCGGATTGGATCGGGGAGGGGGGAATCCAGCCCCTCCCCTGTCACGGCAGAGAG